CTATATAGCTTTTTTTTTTTTTTTTTCAGTTAACGGGTATGAGAGGACCCATGGCCCCAGCTGGTATGGGGATGGGTGTAAGTGTAGGAATGGGTATTGGTGCTCCTCACCCTTTGCAGCAACCACCTATGGGAATGTACACCAGTATGCAACCACAACAACCTGTTGTTTCACAAATCAGTACTTCACATACCCCTGCCTCTACTGTTAATGATCCATTTGGTGCTTTGTGAACAGTAAGTTGCCTCTATAATGATATTTCAATGTTCATATTTAATACAAATATTACCTAATGAGTTGGGTTTTTGAAATTGCATGTTAGTATTTTTTTAACCAGATTGTTATAAGATTGAGAGATAGCACATAGATGTATTAAATATGAAAAACCGTGATGAGCTGTTGAAGAATAAAAATAACCGATACTCTTGTTTGTTGTCATCATTACAAGTTTTTCTTGTGCTTGTTCACGTTACGGAGTTGTATTCCATAATACTCTCTGCAAATTTAAAACTCAAACCATTAACAAATTCAAAAATTTATACATGGCGTGGAAATCCTTGAAAAGCCTCTAATGTTGCCATATAAATTTTAAGCATGGAAATTTAACAAATACACGTGTATATTAGTATTTTTAATCATTCACATTCTGACCTGGACCTTTTCATATTTCATGACCTTTTAATGTGTTATGTTCAAAATTTAATTGTAAACAACTTTATAATCAGTGTACGTCATTAAACTTCGCATAAAATATGGTTCATAAATCAGATGTATATATTAGCTAATTTCAACAATAAATATTAAAACAATTCTCAGTTTTTGTGTATCAAGTGATGCATTTGAACTCCTATTTCCCTCTTTCAGAATATTATATCATCAGAAATAGGCTGAAGTTTCAAACCAATTAGAAACAAACGATACATAATTACAAGAAAGAATCTTAAAATTTAACCTCGTATCTTCGTGACTAGTGGAAATACCAGTAAATTTCTCTCTGACTTTTGAGATTTTGTTAATCAACTGTACATTAGTGATGTTTACGACCAATAGGAACAGTAGATTCTCCTCTGCATAAGACTCATTACGGTTATTTGATTTTAACATCTACAGAACAGCATTCTGCATAGTTTCTTTGTGTGCAAACGCTACTAAAAGAAGTTTTTAAACCTATTTATAGCTTACTTAGGAAGTGAGATAAATTATATTAGTTTTGAGACATTGTATTCTAGTGGCTGATATATTTTTTGTGTTCTACAATATATATTTGAAAGCTGTATAAATTTTTTTGTGCAGTAGTTACTGCAAATCCTTAATTGATTTTCGATACCTCACTTGGTTTGGTCTGAAGTGTCATTGGTGGTAGTGTCCAGGGTCACTGATGAGCAGTGGAATTCTCCGAAACTAGTCTGGCCCACAGAC